ACATAGATTAGGCTGGTTTGGAGCAGGTTGGTATAAAGTTTTTTGGCAGGATAAAACAGGATAGAAGCATACGTTAGGTTGGTTTTGAGCAGGTTGGTATAAAGCTGGTTGGCAGGATAAAGCAGGATAGAAGCGTAGGTTAGGTTGGTGTGGAGCAGGTTGGTATAAAGCTGGTTGGCAGGATAAAACAGGACAGAAAACAAGATAGAAATGTAGGTTAGGCTGGTTTCCCGCTTCCATATCGGCACACTATGCTGGCGCGATGCATTATGGGGCTGGTATAAAAACTTTTTCCAGGGCTGCTTTTCATTCCCAGTCCAGCCCTGTGCCCACCCCACTTGATGACATCTACTACACATTTATGGGACCATGTTGTTATGGGCAAATGCAAATATTACAAGTTTTAGAATGAAATGTTGTATTTCTTAAACTGTGTACTTTGTCTTTAAGAGATATTGCAAACTGACAAGGTGTTAGAAATGGAACATATTGTTTTTCATAGATGTTTCTTTAAGCAATAACCTCAGTGCATAATATGTTTGCGCCATTTTGTCCCAGACGAATTACAATAACAATAATGCATAAACAAGCTTCAAGGCTATACTACGACTCTTGCAGTACACAATATACTGTGGTAACCCCAAGTTAATGGAACTTCCCCAAATCCGGGAATCTCCCACGACTGTACACTTACGACTTAGTATAAACAACAGATAACCTATTCAGACTTTAAGATGCCATCTTGAACTAAGTCAGGAAAATTTCCATGACGTATACACCCTTTAGTTATGGCCTTGTATGTTTGCCAAGTTAAGGGAGGTCCTAAATTGAATAAAGTAAAAGAAGTGTTACTTTTTCATATTTGAACTACAGTAACCTAAAATGGAGACACCTAAGGTATAAATAGGTGTACTTTTAAATGTTAAGACACAGAGGAGAGACTTGGAGACAGACGCTGCTCCATCTTAAAATGACAGAGAGGCTGACATGATGACATGTTCAGAAGGGTATGTTAACCTATTAATGATATTTGCAAGCATGTAATTTAATCTTATAAACTCTGCTATAATGGATTTTATATTTTTATATAATAAATATCCAAAAGACAATCTTGCTTCCAAGACAATCCTTATTTTATATTGTATTCTCAATTATTTATATATGTTAAATAGAGGATCTCTTACACTATATAAAATTATGGCTAAGATATCTGTATGGTTAGCCCTACTAAGTTCTATGCTTTAAGACATTATAGTGGTAAATAAGGGAACCACCACGGTTACAATTGGCGACCACGAAGGGACTTTGTACTTGGAAGCTTTAAATATAAAATAAATACCTAGGTAACCTCTTATACGTAAGAGAAGACACAGTACTTTGTCATGGCACAAGTCCTGAAATATCAAGAATCTATTGAGCTATGTGTAGCCCAGACTCAGAGAGAGATCTTCATCATTAGAGATGATTTTAATGTGAACAAGGCACTGTGAGTTCAAGTGCCAGGTACAATGTAATTAGCATACAATGCTGAAATTGTGGATCTTAACTAATATCATAATAGAACAAATATACATATTTGGTAAACTCCCTGATATGCCTAATACACCAGCATAGCATGGCCCGTTAGTTCCAGGACAGTGGATTGCAGACAGGGGGATATGTTCTCTTTGTAGCTGCTTAGTATGCATGCACAGGAAAAAGATTAATGCAAAATGTTGTCAAAAGAAAAGTGATAAGACAGAGCGATGAAATTTGAAGTCTAATTCCAAGAATGCAAAGAAAATTGCATTATGGCTTAATGAAAACATTCATGCAACAGACAGACAGGATTTTTAATTATTGCATTACTGCGTTCTGGATTCTAATGTCCACTTTATAAGAAAAGTTTTATAAAACAGTGATATTTTCCATATTGTCAGTTACGCTAGCTGTTGATTAAAAATCAGGAATTATAACAGCATAACTATCACTGGAGTCTGGAATTTCCAGCCAAGGTTGCGGAGATACAGAGACATGTAAACATTCCAAGGAATTGAGAAGTCGTTGTTTTATATTCCAAATTATGAACAACATTATTACATACAGCCATAAAGAAAAATACATGGCTTTTAAATAAATTCAGTGCAGTACAATACAGTACACTGCAGCATGTATTTTATATAATATATAACTAGCTCATATTTTTTTCCTAAACAGAGTTGAAATTATACTACCCTCCTAGAAAAAAAGGGCAACAGGTGGTTATACATCCTTTGCTTCTCTAAATGCTCTGCAAAAATAAATATTTATAAAATCATTAAAAAATAATATATATGTAAGATAAATCAGGGCTAAATAAAATTGTAACTATACAGGATCTCTGATAACTTTTAAACTGAAATTATTAAAGGCTTATTTAAATAAAAAATTTAAATACATTTACAGCTTTAAATGTGACCAAAAGATATTAAATGATGTGTTAAGCAGCCCAATTCACTAGAATAGCATAAGTATTCTACTATTTAAAGTGTACAATTCCTGCACATAATGACTTTGCTTACTCAGGTACAGTATTTAGTCTATTGCAATGGCAGGATTAAAGTCCACCAATTTTAAAAGGGAAAGCTTACTTAAATCAGTGGTACTATCCCACCGTACTAGCAGTAAAGAAATTAGAACAATGATATTGTACTACTGACTGTAATCAGATCAGACACATGTAGTCTCAGTGAATTTCATAAAAATAAGATTAAATATCAAAGTTGTTTATATATAAACATATCAATGTTGTTTATAAATAAAATGTATAGAGACTAAGCATTAAGAGCATTTACATGCATTCAGCAGCCTGCTCTCTCAAAGCCAGAAACAGATTTATAAAAAAATTAAAAAGTAGGTTTAAAAAAGTCCACAGTCAACCGCACGTGAAATAAGGGTGAAATAATTGCTTATTTAAAAGCTATATGTTGCCGCAATTATGTATATAAATACTGATTAGGGCACAGAGTAGAACTAAAAATACAGTTTTAAATCTCATATATGGGGATTCAGTTCCACCACATATTCTACAATTCTGAAAGAGGCTAATTTTAATAATATGTTGTAATAGCATTGTGAATATGTATAATGCAAAATTAATTTGATATTGCAAAGCCTGCAATATTCTAAACAGACATTAAACCTTAAGAAAAAAAAAAAAGAAAAATAATGCATAAAGAATAATGCATAAAAAAAATGCAGTGTCAATTAAAGTGATAATACTCTGATATATTAAATCACATTGCATATCAAATATCTGCTATATGAAAAGTATAATTAATGTGACATTACTGTCCAAAGCCCCCTCACATCTATTTTATAGAATCTATACTTTTCAGTGGTCACCTCCAAAGAAGCCTCTGAAATCTCATCCCAAAAGAAATCAGATTCCAGACTTAATTTTTTTTTTAAAATAAATAAATAAATGATAGAAAAGGAATCACGGAACACCCAGAACATGCATTTTTGTATATAATCTTAATTTGCAGACATTTTATGTCTTAGAGACATATAAAGGATATTTAATTAAATATGCAGGTATCTTAAATTTAAGCAATGTTAAAATAAATAAATAATAATAATAAAAATATATTTTACACCACACTATAAACAGCTTTGTTAAACAGATTTAAGTACAAGTACTTATGACAAGAAATATACAGAATACGTTTACAACAGGCAGGTTTAGAATAAATGCAAAGTTGCTGTTTTTTGGGGGGATTTATTATTGCCCAAGAAATCTCTGAACATATTCAGAATTTTTGAGAGCAGCAAGTAAGACAGCAGATTGCAATGGACACCATTACAATATTGCTTTACCGATTGAGGTCAGAGCTTTAAAGAATAAATAAATAAATGTTCTATAGCTCGCTAAATCACTGGCTTTTAATTAACAGTTTGCACAACACTTATAAATAGTTTGTAATACTGTACATTATAGCTGTGACAACATAATACACAGGGTAACAATGCTATGTCACTGTTTAATAGACTTACCCAGTATTTAAGGACGACATGTTTCTTGCAAAGTCATCAGGACTTTGAGGGAGGTTCTAACTACGTTTAATTAATTAATTAACTTACTAAAGAAAAAGAAAAAAAGAAGGTTTTGTTTTTCCCCTGCAAGTGAGTTTTCAGCGCAAGGTCATCTTGTGTTCACAGACTATTCGGATTTTAAAAAGCTGTTCTTTATCTCACATTATGAACGGCCTTGTAATTCCTATGCACACTAAAAGTTGGCTTTTAAATGTTGTTTTAACTTTAATATTTCATAGTTAATACAGAGGATAAAGTAATTTAAAGAAAATATATTGAAAGTATATTAATTGATAAGATTTAATTTATCTATTTTGGTCCACTGTTCACTGATCTCGAGTCTCAGTCTGGTGTTCAAACAGTTTTTCTTACGATACGTTGTGAGTTTATATCCACAACTGAATTTTGCTTTGTGGTAACAAATTGAAAGCCTGGCATTGTAATACGTGTAGGGACATGCTTATAACAAAGCATGGGCCCTCTCCTCATGAAGTTGGTCATTAACAGGCACTTTGATGCAATGTGTCTACCAACGCTTTTCTGTGGTCACTGGATCACATCGCATACCCTATCTCTCAGTCATGATGCAGAGTTTATGCTTGCAAGGATATCCAGACCTTATCCACCTGGTATCCTCATAAATACTCCTATCGTTTATAGGGGTTAATTACATAATAACCATTGAAGGTAATATGTTGGTTGTTCTTCCTATAGAGGAAAGATAGACTTGCCCAAAAGCTTTTTCATGGCTAGGACAAGCTCTTATAGAGATAGATAATGTACTTCTGACTCCTGAAAAGGAATATTGATGGTCACAATATGGGAAATACTGTAATTCATGTGTTTAGTAATCATAAGCATTTGCTTATTGCCACATTACTGATGTACTGTTTATTGAAATATTAATATCTAACATACTTTTTGAATTACTATATATTGGAAGTGTGCCAACATCTCATGGTTATAAGTATGTTTGTGTATGTGTTGATGCATGTAACAGGTTTACTTGGATATATCCTGTGCGAAGTGCAACCTCTGATGCCACGTTTTCTAGTCTCACTTCCTTAGTATGCATTTGATAATCCCAGGACCATCCATTTGGATGGTGGTCCTGCACTTACTGCAAAGGAAACCTAAAACTGGGCAACCACATTTGGGTTACTTTGGGATTTCAGTGCCCCAACCACCCCCAAAGAAGTGGGGTTGTGGTCTGGGAGAATGCTGAGGTTAAATGATTATTAACCAAGTTACTAGCTGCTTGCCCCACACAGTGGTATCTATTTATTCCTATGGTACAGATAAGCATTTACAACATACCTGATGATACAAATGGTGAGACACCATATGAAATGTTACATGTTTTTTCACTGACAAACATATTTCTGCACCAGGGAGAGCTTAGAACCATTGGTTCTATTAGAGAAATTTAGGGAATTTTTTTTTCCAGCCCACCTCGCCTTGCACCACCAACTTTTTCTTACTGTTGGCCAGTTTGTCCTGGAGAGGGTGACTCCGAGAACTTTTACTACAGAGAACAATCAGAGCCAACAGAGAACAGTAAGTTTTGATATTTTACAACCTGTTAAATATTAACAGGACATTCACAGAACCACTGACTGACACAATGGATGCTGTTAAAGATGACAAGATAAAACAAACAGAGGACGACAGAAATGCCACCAAAACACAGCCACCAGAATCATAGCCACGGAACAGACTGAATCATGATCTGACATCTGAACCTGCAAATGTGAAGGAGAAGGATGAACAGACAGACGTGATACATTCACAGTTAACATGGAATGTATGAAAAATGAATCATCAACATCATTATAAGAAAGACTCTGGAGAAAACAGACTGAACCTGAATTATCTTATACAGTAAGAAAGAAATTCAAAGATGGAAGCAAAAGGATGCTAGAAAATTGGTGTCTCCTTCTTACAATCTGCAGCATTATCATAACATTAACCCTAGCTGTCGTTTTAAAACTGCATTGGAATTATGTTAACAAGCAGGAAGCACCTGAACTGAATTGGACTGCACACTATACAAGTTCTTTGATCGTGAGGACTACCTCCAAGAACTATCTCATAAGGAGAGACACAGCTCACAGTGAAATGATTGCTAATGTGACCTACACTGGTATTTCACAAGGAACCTATTGAGATCATTCCAAAAAACGATTATACATGAGAAAGATGTGATTGGACTATTACAAATCCTAATAATGGAATCAACGATGATGGCAAAGCATGCTGAAAACAGAAAAAGACGGGAAAGATGCTTATGAAAGACTTTGGATGCACCTATGAAGGTGATTTAAGAAAATACTTTGCCATATAGTTTATCATTGAGTGACTACCGCAAACAGCCTTCTTATGCTGAAAAGATGTGCTATGCTAATTCTGGACATTGCTATTATCCAAACAGACGATAACCGGAAAAAGAAATAAAGGCTGATAGCTGTTAAGATGGAACATGGTATTGAGAAAACCTGATTGAGTATCAAAGCACCTCACAGTACAAGACACAGATTGTTGCCTACAACTCAGAAAAAGTGGTTAATAGGAAGGAGAAGAAGAGGAATATAGATTTCCTACTGGAGAGAAAAACCATCCTGGAACAATATTCTGCAACAATGAACTTTACAATGACATTTGGTGGCATATGAATTTGAATTTGAGAGAAACACATTAACGAAAGGAACCTTGATGCAATTAATAAAAATAACAAGACCGGCCTACTAAGAGCAGATGCCCTGCCAAGAGAATGGAATAAAAAGACCAGCAAAATCTTTCAGAAACCTGACATCACGGGACACTTGTACTAAAGCACGATTTGCAGTTTTTCTTAAACCTTACATATTATGTACATACCTGCAATGCAAGGAACTCCTGTAAACATAAACACAGAGACATTGATACAACAAGGAATCTGTAATGGTTCTGTTGCACATGTGATCTACCGATGTACTCCTTGCTCTTTTGGTATAACTATACCAATCAAAACGTTAAATGGCTCTATAGAATCAAACGACAAAGCATTCTTGCTATATTCTGGACTTCCAGGAAAGTGGTGCATGGATCGAAAAATTATAATTACTAAAGCAATCATGCTATTTTTTCCCTGTATCAGAAATGTGTCAGTGACAATGTGTAATATAATACAGATACTATAATTAATGGTATAAGAAACACATAATGTGTTAATTACAAAGGTGGATAGACTTTGTGAAAATCTGAAACACAATTGAAGATTATTGCTAAAATGCCATATGCAGCTGCAGTCTGGCCTACAAACAAATATATTAAACATACGTATAAGAGCATGGTAGCTAATTACCCAGATGAATAATTGAATCATGATAGTTAAAGATCATATGATTGCAATAACAACTGCAATAATGAATAATGTTTAAACTTATAAAATGTTTTTATTAAATCAGAAACTATTCTATATTCGTTTAAGTTTGCAGAATGGTATAATTAATATAAGTAAAGTACTTCAACAGTTAAAATTTAACTGAAAGACAGGCAGAAACTTTACTTCAACTATCATAAAGTTTATTATAATGGTAAAAATATTCAGTCTGCCAGAGCTAAGGCCAGTCAATGGAAAGTAAGAGAGTATTATGGATTAACCCGTCCAGGTGATATACATGATGATATTGGAAATTGATCATTTAGGTCACCTATTGCAAACAGGTGAAAAGATGTCAAAGATATAAATTCAACATCCATACC